GTACCCCATACTCCCGGAGAACCCCCCACAAGGCCCCCCTTGGGACACTGTCGAACGCCTTCTCCAAGTCCACAAATCACATGTAGACCGGTTGGGCAAACTCCCATGCACCCTCCAGGACCCTGCTGATGGTGTAGAGCTGGTCCAGTGTTACACGACCAGGACGAAAACCACACTGCTCTTCCTGAATCCGAGGTTCAACTATCCAATGGACCCTCCTCTCCAGGACCCCTGAATAGACCTTACCAGGGAGGCTTAAGAGTGTGACCCCCCTGTAATTGGAGCACACCCTCCGGTCCCCCTTTTTAAACAGGGGGACCACCACCCCAGTCTGCCAATCCAGGGGTACCGCCCCCAATGTCCATGCGATATTGCAGAGTCGCGTAAGCCAACACAACCCTACAACATCCAGAGCCTTGAGGAACTCCGGGCGGATCTCATCCACCCCCGTGGCCCTGCCACTGAGGAGCTTTTTGACCACCTCAGCAACCTCGTCCCCAGAGATTGGAGAGCTCAACCCAAAGTCCCCAGKCTCAGCTTCCTCAACAGAAGGCATGATGGTGGGATTTAGGAGGTCTTCGAAGTATTCCGCCCACCGGCCCACAACATCATGAGTTGAGGTCAGTAGCACATCATCCCCACTATAAACAGTGTTGGTGCTGTACTGCTTCCCCCTCCTGAGACGCCGGATGGTGGACCAGAATCGCCTCGAAGCCGTGCGGAAGTCTTTCTCCATGGCCTCTCCAAACTCCTCTCACGCCCGAGTTTTTGCCTCAGCGACCACCCGAGCCGCATGCTGCTTCGCCTGCCGGTACCCATCAGCTGCTTCTGGAGTCCCGTAGGCCAGAAAGGCCCGATAGGACTCCTTCTTCAGCTTGACAGCATCCCTCACCGAAGGTGTCCACCAACGGGTTCGAGGGTTGCCGCCGCAACAGGCACCAACAACCTTGTAGCCGCAGCTCCGATAAGCCACCTAACCAATGGAGGTATGGAACATGGTCCATTCAGACTCAATGTCCCCCACCTCCCCCAGAACGTGTTCGATATTCTGCCGGAGATGGGAGTTGAAGCTCTGTCTCACAGGGGACTCCGCCAGACGTTCCCAGCAGACCCTCACTACACATTTGGGCCTGCCAGGTCTGACCGGCTTCCTCCCCCACCACCGGAGCCAACTCACCACCAGGTAGGATCGCATCTCTGCTTTTTGCGGATGATGTGGTCCTGTTGGCTTCATCAGAACGAGATCTGCAGCTCTCGCTAGAGC